TAAAAAAATACCTGACTGATGTACAGAAATTGGCTTACTTTGTTACATTAATTTGATCTTTAAAAAAAAAAAAAAATAAAATAAAAACTAAGGAGTAGCTGTACATTACTCAAGTAAAACTTACCATAATGTACAGCTACTCCTTAAATTTGTTTTGTTGTTTTATTTAAAAAGTTAAAGTTAATGTAACTTAGTAATTTCTGTACATCAGTCAGATTGTTTGATTTTTCTGTATTTGTCTACAAAAGATATCACTATATTCAGATCCAGTCAAATAATTTTTAGAAAATTAGAACTATATATTACATAATCTGTAGAAATGAGAAAAATATAAATAAAAAAAAGATGTGCTATAGATGTCCCACACTGCATTTACTTCCCGTATACATATAAAGCATAAGAGTCTTAGGGAAGTGGCGGCCTAGTGGTAAGGGCATAGAGCTTGGTATCCTGAGGTTGTGAGTTTAAAACCCACTCCCACAGTCTGCCACTCTGGGTCTCCTAGCAAGACCCTTAACCCCCATTTGCTCCCTGGGCACCGCACGATGGCAGCCCACTGCTCCCAAGGGGATGGGTTAAATGCAGAGATAAATTTCTCCAGTGTGAGATCAGTAAAGTTCAATTATTATTGTCTGTTTCTTGAGTAGAACGTGAATAAAGATCTCACAAGTGTGGCAAAAAAGAAAATATTGACAAATAGAGGATTAAAGAAAAACACTGGGTCAAGTCTACAAAGGTCTATGTGAACCAATATTCCCATTTTGTCTTCTTGTCTCACCTTTTATCAAAATAATTCTCTATTTGACAAAGAAAAAATAAAAAAACAGAACAAATACCAAGCATTTAAATTAAACACCATCTGTCACCCCTTTGTTAAATTATCACACAAGTGGGATTACTAGTTTACACGCCTGTTCTAATATACATGAATTAATCAGCAAATAAAAAAATTATCACTAGCTTTCATCAGTTTGTAAAAGTCCAATCCTTTGTTAGACCAATGAAGTCAAGCAAACAGCAGTTCTAACACGCCTTAGTTAAAGTCAGAAGTCATAATTCTTTAAAAGGAAAGAGAAACTGGGTAATAAGGCAAGAACCACTGCTGACCCAAAAAACAAAAAGGTTTGTCTGACAATTACATCAAAAAAGATCAAATATTAAAAATGTCTTGAACTTTTGAAAGAAATTGACATTGAAATAAACAAATGTGGATGTTTTTAAAGGGTTTAAACCCCATTACACCTGGTGTAACTTTAATACAACATTTCAGAAACAGAGCATCACATCCACAGTCAAACACAGTGGTGGTGTGATGGTCTGGAGCTACTTTAGTGGGTCAAGACCTGGATGACTTACTGTTATTGATAAAACCATGAAATTTACTCCTTAAAGAGAATATCATATTAATCATTTTTTACCTAAGGCTCAACCATATTTTGTGAAAGATATTGAACCCAGTAGATCAGTAGCTATAAGACTGTATAGTATCCCAGTATAAGTTTTATACCTCATAGCACTGTAATCTTATTTTTACGTTTTTGCACCATAATGTTTTATATTTCAATTATATGATTTACTTAAATCTAAAAAAAAGAAATAAAAGGAAATCATTATTTGTATAATATAAATGTGAGTGATTGAATTAAAGAGCAAGTAAAAATAACAGCAATATGTTATTATCCAGTTGAAACATTTACCTCAAATAACAGAACTTTCTTTGAAAGTGTAACACAAAATTTTCCAATGGAACATAGACATAACAAATTTGCCATGTCATATAAATCTGTACTTTAATGATAATTAAACATTTAAAGTTTAAATTTTACAGTATTTTTTAAAAAATTATTCCTGCACATAAATCACTTAGTTATATTATGCTTTGTTTTTGATTATTATGATTATTTAAATAAAACTTTATTTGTATGAACAAAGATTCTGCCAATTTACAAACTGATGTAAAAAAATGATATCTAAAAACTGCCTTACCATCAATTATTTAAACATGTTTGTATTAATCAGTACGGTATATAATCTACTTAACTGCATAACTATGAATTTGCCTTCTGTTGAGTTCTGTTGTATTGTTAAAATAGTCTTTTTAAAATAATTAACCTTTGAGCAGGTACTTAATAAAGGACTACTTTTATTAAGCTTACATTTCTGTATTATGGATTAGTATGAATTTTTGAGCGATTCCTATAGCTCTAATCCATCTCATCCAAAACACCTTAAGATATTCAAATGTTACTCCATATTTACCCAAATTGAAAATTGGAGAATATTTTGTGACTGATAAAAAATATAATAATGCTATGCTTGTGACTGCCTGCAAATCTAAATTATTTAATGATTCCTATAATAGTTTTTTGACAACAACTAATCTGCCCTTATTTGAGAAGGCTTTCTCTAAGTTTGTTAAATGGCCGGTTTTATCAAAGGTTAAAGAGACTCACTTTAAAATCTCTCACAATATTTACCCAGTGGCAGAATTTTTGCACAAAAGATTTAAATTTGATTTAACATGTGGTGCATTTTATGAATCCCTTAATCATTTCTTTTTTTTTTCCTTCTGTCCCCTTTCTTTTAAACTATGGAGAGACATCAAAAATTGGTTGTCCCTTAAAATTGAGGACATCCAAGAAATAACAATCACCCACGTGTTGTATTATGTTGATGATGACCTTATTTAGTAAAAAAAATTCAGATATAGAAATAGTTTTCTTGCTTAGCAAATATCATATACATTGCTGTAAATGAAGAGGTTCTACTCCTTGTTTTGATTTTGTTCTTAACCAATTTAAATTGTTTTACACCTCATTGTAACATTTAAAATCTGCCAGTATTTCTATTTTTCTTTTGTTTTAAATCTTGTTCTATATTTATTCATTGGCCTTACTGCTCATGTATCGGTTCTTGATTTTAGTCCCATGTTCTGTCAGTTTTTTTCTCTATCCATCTTATGTTGTGATGTTTAGTTTGTACACTATTGTTTATTTATATGAATAAAGTAAAAAAAAAATGAATTTTCGAGCGGTGTCGCTTTAAGTATACGTCATCAGTCAGCGACAATATGGTTGTTTTATGTCACCTCTTAAAAAACAGCAGGTAAGCTAAACGTTTCGTTTCGTTTTACGTTTTTAACTCGAATAAAAATAGCCTCATTCGGAAATAAACATGTTTAAATGAGTCGCTGTGATTCTGCTTGCATCTCAGCTCGGCTCGTTTTCTTTTAGGTGCTGCTAGCTTCCCAGCATCGCCCTCTGTGAGAGTAAAGTTACTTTCCTCCTGAATAAACCAAACAGGTTTGAGCTAAACGCCACAAACTGTTGTTCGGTTTTTCTCCTTCAGAATTTTTTGACAAAGAGTAGAATTCATGTTTCTGAGATTTACACTAAATAACTCAGGTCCTGAAGCTGCAAAGGTTGACCCAGACACAGTCAGCCATAATGGTTCTCACTGTGGATCATATTAAGTTTTAAGTTATTACAAAAGGCTTTTTTTTTCTAGTCTGATGATCTGAGTTTATTTCTCATCTTGTAGAACAAGGCATGGTCCCATACTTGTTCAAATCTATTATCCTTCTTCATGTTGTTTGGACAGGTTCTTTATTCTCTAATCCAATAAAAATTAGGCCTAGTTGTGTGAAACTGAACATATTCTTCCTATTAAAATATTATTGATTACATATAATCTATGATTTATTAAGAAGGCAAACAGTATTTTTAAGTGACTCTGCACAACTCAGTTTCATGTTAAGTGTCTTATTTAAAAAAGGGACAAGAAATCCAAAATTTGTGATCAATGCATGATGTATGTGACTAATAAACAACTAATAAAAGTAGAATTTACCCCACCTTTTCCTTATTTTACTGTAATTTGTAGTTATTGAAATATATTTTATCAATGGGCTTATTAGATGTAGAAATTATAGTAGAAACTGATATATTGCTATGAATGGAAGCAGTAGTGACATCTGTAATTATACTAGAAGATAAAACAAATCTTAGGGTTGCTGTAATCAGGGTTAAGTAAATCTTTCAGCCAAGTTAATCTTTTAAACACTTGGTAGTCAGACTGTAGTCCAGAACTGCCCCCTATTGGAGCAAAAACACATTACAAGCAGCTCTCCTTCACATGATTGGCTCATCATTAGATATGTAGGTCTTTAAATCTGTTGTTTTTAAAATGGAAAAAATTAGCAATGAAAGAATTTTAATAGGCATGTATATACAATTTATAATATAAGGGTGAAAAAACATGTAACTGATTTAGTGTTGAGTTAGAAATGAATTAAACAAGCAGTTACCTGGGAGAGCAGAGAACTGACAGATCCTCCAGTGTTAAAGTGACTCGAATATTCGGTGTTGCTTTAGCTCATCAGACGGCTGCTTTGTGTTTTCTCAGAACCTAAAGGCCCAGAGGATGCTGTCCACTCGCTCCACTGTCTTGTCTCTCTACATGCGTGTGTTCCGCATCGCCCGGGCCTGGCAGGCTCAGACCTGCATCGCAGCAGACACAGAGAGCGAAAGAAAGTACATCCTGCAGGAGGCCGGTACTTTGTTCAGGCAGAACCAGCAGGTGTGAACAGCATTGGATTTAGAGCAGCAGTTGTTTCTAAGAAGCTGTACCACTAATTATTTTCTATTTGTTTTCAGCTCACAGATCAAGAATCAATAAAGAGGTGTATGGAAGAATGTGAAGCAAGGATAGAAATAGGTATGAATGGTTTAAGATATCCACTTTAACTTGGGCGGCGGCTTCAGGTGTTGGTCATCAAAACAGCCTAAATCACAGATGTAGAGAATAAAAGTGATGTTTTTTTCAGTAAGGTAGTCCAAATTAATATTATAGTTTAATTTATGTCAATATTTTATATTTGCTTCTTTTTTCTTTCTACACAGTGATTGGTAAAGGCAGAGGCGCATTATCTAACAAAGGGCTGTAGATAAACACAAGATAATGGTTAAAGTGTATAACCTCAGGGATTTCATCAAAGCATACTCATATTTCAACATAGGTGACCTTGATATAAGCAATTTAGACTCTTTTTTTTTTTTTTTTTTTTTTTTTTTCTTTAAAAATTTTTAGTTATTATTAATACCTGGTTTTACTGCTGAGCCCTAACAGAGTTTTCGTGTCCAAAATTAAACACTATAAAATGAAAATATTTGAGCTTCTGAATTGCATCTTAAGTCCTTCTGAACTACATAAAATTTCTAATGGTTCCAACAAATCAGAGCCTTAATGCACGTCCTACATTGAGATAGATCAGAAAGAAACCCTGGGTTCTGCCAAAACTTTGCTGCCTAAACTTTCCAGTTTCTTGGCCTCAACAAGAGAGGGAACTTTTTTTTTTTTAACCAATAAACAGCAATAAAGCAGAATTTTAGTAGCTGGAGATGTAATCTGACTAAATATAACCATCTTTTTTTATTATTATGATCTTTCAACCAATTTTTAACCATTCAGTGGTAGATTTGCTAGTTTGCTTTGCATCACTGTCCTTCATACTTCAAGTACGGATGTTATGATGCTCTCTTTGTGGATTTTTGCTTTAGCAGAGCAGAACTCATGGTTCCATCTTTCACAGTAGGATGCTTGAGACCTAATTTGTCTCACACCATTATACTACTGCTACCTTGTTTGAAATTAAATGCAGTGTTTGTTTGTTTTTTTAAATGATAGTCTATTTCTATTCAGAATAACTTTATTTTTCCCAAATGACTTTAAACCTGGACAAAAAAGGCCTTCAGAGCTTCTGATGTTGTCATGTTACTGGACGAGTCATTGATGAGCTCCTGGAATAATTTTGGTTGACTGTAAAGCTTCTCCGGTGCTCCATAAAATCTCTTCTCACCGACTTCGGCTTCTTATGCTTTGAAACTGTACATCTGTTCATTAAAAACAGTGAAGCACGCTATGAGCTATCCTGAACATTAATTTGATCACCGTTCCGGTCTGAACCTCAGGCTACAGATAACAGATGGTAATACAAAAACAATACCATATTACAGATATTCTTCAGTTCTCTTCAGCTTCTTCAGCCTGTTAATTCAATCCTTGATCTGATGAAATCCAGCTGCTTTCCATTTGCTGGATGAACACATCTATTTCATGAGTAGTTTGTATTAATTTCCCTGTTTTTCTGGTCCGCTGGTGACTCATCAGTTCTGTCTGAAGAACCAGCTATTCAGCGGCACGAGACGTAAACTTGAGTTGCTGCTCTGGAACCTTTTATTTGGTCATAATAGGCGCAACCTGTTCATAAACATATTCAGGAACCAGAACAGGCACCGAGTTCGATTGGTGAAAAATGCCCTATCTGTGTGGATATTGGTTCTCACTGTGGTTCCCTGAAGTCCCAGAGCCTTAGACATAGCACTGTAACCCTACCCAGATTTGCAGATGTCAGACTCTGTTTCAAATCTGTTTTTGAATATCTTTAGACCTGGGCTGGATGTGTTACTTTTGGAAATCTTCAAGCTTAATTCATGTTGTAAGACAGTTTCTCTTTAATTGATTTCTTCATGCAGTGGAGTGGTTGATGAAATTGCGCAGAGATTTTCGAGAGTATTTAGAGTATTTGTGTTACAGCTTGGCTCCCTTAGCCATAACTAAAGATCAAAGAGACATAGATCTCAACGTAAAGCTCTTTATTGAGGTCAGCAGAATAATAAAAGTAAGTCGTGACTTAACAAGGATAGCAACTTCCGTTTTCAAACAGTCAGGCTGCTTTTGATGTTTTTTTTTCCAACATTTAAACATTGAAGCAGGAAAAATGGAAATTAAATTCATCTGTAAAGAGATAAACATCACTCTGTATAGACTTAATTTTGTTAATTAGTTTGAAATTGTCGCTTTGTGAAAGAACCAGATTTTTATAAAGATTTTTCTAATTGTTTTGCAGATATTATATGATAAAATGTTAACTTAAACTTATTTCTGTTCAGGTCTACATTACAAGAATCCATACCCAAGAGCTGTAAGCAAACACCACACATCTATTTATTGTCAGTCTGCATTCAAATTAAAACATGCTTCAGAAATGGGATCTAATCACCGTATTTTGGCTTGATGATGTTCCTGTAGACGCATCTTCCACCTATGGGGCTGGCCACACAGAAGGGCAGGAAGCTGCGCGTTCAGCAGCGCCTCAGGAAGCAGGCCAAACCAGTTTACCTCCAGTCGCACGACGAGACCTGAGGGCTGAATCCCTGGACCCTGTCCATGGCTCAGGTTGCAGATAGGACACCGGAGTACAGACTACAGGCGATGTCAGTTTCTCCAAGCAATTACTGACCCGAGAGCAGTTGTCATTAAGGAGAAAGAAACCACTGTTTTTATTATTCTTTTTCTGTCAAAGTGTCAGTAAAAAGTGAACAGTTGTGTTCAGCTCAGGGAGGCTGTTGCTGCAGCGAGTCCAGTTACTGTACATTTTATTTATCATGATGTTTAAAAATAAGAACTAATTTAACCAATAAAGTGTCTCAATGTTCTGTACTGTGTTTCTTTATAAAACCAATTACCCTTTAATAAAAAAAAAAAAGCTAAGCATCTTAAAGCACCTTGCAAATGATTCACCACAAAATAATTGAAAAAGGAAAATTGGTGTGTGACGAAAGGTTACGCCGAGGCAGTTGGAGAGTTTCACAGCCCACCTTAATCTGCCATGTAGAATTTTGCATTTAGCACTAGTTCTGCACATGTGCACCTCGATAAAAATGCTAATATTACCTATGAAAGAAAACCCCACAATCGTCACAGATAGGGGTGTGCAAAATAATCGTCATGATTATGCATCGTGATTCTAATTTTCGTGATCTACTGCATCCATTCTTGATGCCAAGTATCGATTATTAATAAAAAAAATGAATAAATAAAATAACATGAATGGTTGGCGAACATCAGCCAAAAACAAGTGTAATACAACTTCCAGTCCAGTAGATGTCGCTGCGGATGTGTTAACGCACGCTGCCTTGTGTCACAAGCATTTCCGGCTGCGGGATACTGCGCCGAGTCATTCAAAAACAAAACATGGAGGAGAAAATATTGCAATGCATCGCAATAATTCAAGTATCGTGATGCATCGTGATAGAATCGCATTGTGGCCTGTGAATCGTGATTCGAATCGAATCGTGACTTCTTTGGCAATACCCACCCCTAGTCACAGATATAACCGAATTCTGACAAAATTAATAATTGATAAGACAATTATATGAAATCAAAAAATTTGAAATCAGAGGATGCTTTCCAACCACGCTTCCACTAAATGATTTAAAAAATAAGCTAATGAAACAGGCCTGGAAATGATGGTCCTCCCAGAAATGAGTAAAAATAATGTGACCAAAGGGATGTTAAATCCCATTCATGTGTCACAGGTGTCTACAATCTTGTAATCAATCAGTGATTCTATATATAGCGCCACAGGTAGTCACTGTACTGTTAAGTGACATGGTGTGTACCACACCCAACATGGACCAGAGGAAGTGAAGGAAAGAATTGTCTCAGGATATAGGAGAGAAACCCATAGACAGGCATGTGAATGCTAAAGGCTGTCAGACCATATCCAAGCATAATTGCTTGAAGATGCTTGATCTTCCTCTGACAACAGTTGCACTTGCATATATTTAGAAAATGAAGACCTGAACCTCCCTGTATGTGGCAGCAGGAGGAAAATTGATGACAAATAAATGAGATGGATAATATGAGTGGAAACAAAAGAGCCCAGACATTTTTCTACATGGACTAAAGCTGAACTTCAAGGTCAAGGAACATGGTGTCAGGTCACACCATATGTGGTTTGAGCCAAAGTGGACTCAAAGGGGAGGCGACCAAGGAGGACGACATTGATGAAAACAAACCATAAAAAAGCCAGAATGGAATTTGGCAAACTGCATGTTGATAAGCCACAAAGTTTCTGGAAGAATGTTTAAGGCACAACAGTTCAATCTTCACAGAGGGAAAAATTAAGCATTTCAAGAAAAGAGGATTATTTTACTGTGAAACTTGGAGGAGGCTGTTTTGAGGCTGCTTTGCTTTATCTGGCACAGGGTGTCTTGATCAGTGTTGTATAAAGTACTGAAATCTCGGAGTCAAGTAAAAGTATAAGAACCTCCCCAAAATATGACTTAGGTAAAAGTCCAAGTCACTGACTGAAATGTTACTTGAGTAAAAGTCTTAAAGTATCTGAAATGGCTGTACTTAAGTATAAGAATTACTGTAAAAATAGATGTACTCAAGTAATGTAGTGGAAAGTATAAGTTAAAAGTAAGAGCAGTTTGAATGACATTTTTTTACATTTTGGTAAACTTTGAAGGTTAAATTCACTTAAAATAATATACACAACCAAGTGTAGGATAAATTTAGACTGGCTTTGCGAAAAAAACGTATCCTATTGGTGTTGATGAACAAGCCCAGGCAAGACCCAACTTTGTAGTCAGTAGGTGTGGTCAAAACGCTTGCGTTTCTCTCGCTCGTTTTTTTTTTTTTTTTTTTTACTTAGTAACTAAACCAAACACTGAAAGTGTTTCGGAGTAAAAGTATGCAATTAAGTTTGTAAATCTAGTGAAGTAAAAGTGAAAGTTCTCAAAAAAATGTATACTCTTGGAAAGTATAAAGTACTCCAAAATATACTTAAGTACAGTAGTGAAGTATTTTTACTTCGTTACTATACAACACTGCTCTTGATTCTCTGCAGGGTACTATGAAATATCTAGAATATCTAGGGATTCTACAGAGAAATGTGCTGCCAAGTGTCAGAAAGCTTGGTCTCCATTTCAGGTCATGGCTCTTCAACATAATGACACAAAACACAGAGCTGAAATTACACAAGAATGACTTAAGAGAAAAACATTGGAATATTCTGCAGTGGGGCTCCAGATCTCTGATCTAAATCCTATTGAGCATCTTTGGAGGGAACAGAAACACTGTCTGGTAAAGGTAACGCTCAGATAACTAGAGCAGTAAGCTCACGAGGAGAGAACCAGCATAGCTGCTGAGAGGAGCAGAAGTCTCATGGACAGTTACAGGATTCGTTTAACTGCAGTCAGTGATTGCCTCAAAAGGTTGTGCGACAATATATTTCAGGGTCTGCCTTTCAAAAATTATGTGAACGTAACTGTTAATGGAGTCGTTAGCACTAGTTATTTCAGGTTTAACAAGCCTTTTAATGAATGATAAAAAAAAATATTCCTAACAGCAAGTTGGTCTCAATCTTTAGATGATTGGTTATGAGTAGATTAGAGTAAACTGTTAAAATGAAGGTTTGCATTTTCATTCACTCTATGGAGGCACGTAGAAACAGTAGCACTTTGTATACCCCCGCCAAGGCTGCTGGAGTCAGTTTCCATGGTAATTTCTCAGTAACAGGGAAGCCACATAACAAAATCTAATGCAGTAACGTTTTAAACCTGAGGAGGGCGGAAAACACAAAAGCAAACTTGCAGCAAATGCAGCCTTATTTTGTCAAATAAGGCTTGGGACAGGTACTCTATAGAACCCCCATATATACTTTTTGTTAGCTACAAAAAGTATCGGGGAGAGTCGTCCTTTAAATTATATATCTACAACTTGTTGACACAATCAATATACATATAACCAAGTAGGATAACTTTATTAACATTTTGTACACGTACAACAGATAGATCAAAGCCACAACTTTTGATTGATTTTTCATAACCAAACAATACTTTAAACAGGTAAGAAATTATCATCATTTATCAAACTCTGTCCTGAATAAATTAAAGAGAAATAAAGCATCCAATGTTGTCTTTATGGCCACTTTATGTGTAAAATTAACCAAATATATTATAATTCTCGATAAAATTATAGAAAACATTCCTTTTTATGCATATATATGCAATTGTTTAGAGGAAGCAAGTTTCTCTGTTGGGGCCCTTGGAATAATATAACATTACCAATACTGTTAGACCTCACTAGATGTATTATAGCTCAGCTTGAAACCTCATCTTTCATTTCAAATCAGAAACCCAGTTTCTGTAGTTCATATTAACATTATGCCTATTATAAAGCCAACCAAATCAAATGTTTCAATTTGTTTAAGTATATTAACTTCTGGTGAAGTGTTTGTTGTGTTTGTTGGAGCTCCTGTAGTTCATTTAGTAATCTTATATCGGATAAAAATGGCAGATATATCTACCTGGGATTGGTATATTATTCCATGTTCTTGTCATACTAGTGAATATCTATGCTCGCAATTTTGATGATCTAAACTTTATGAATAGTCTCTTTGAAACTCTTCCACCACTTATTCAATCAATTCAAAAATACTTTATTAATCCATAGTCTAATTAAATATAAGATTCTTATATCTGAAGGCAGCATGGATTCTGTAACCAAACCAGATTCAGACTAATCTAATTCCACAAATGTTGACATCAATAATGTTGCATTCAGCTGTGTTGATCTTTTTGGAGATTCTACTAACCTCATAATAAAGAATTTCCTTATTCTCCCAAATGCATAAATAATTTTCTCAGATTGATAAATTTTTATGGTCAATAAACACATTTCAGCTGTGCAGATGTTTAACTATCATCCTGTTGTTTTTTCTGACCTTGCCCTCCTTTTGCAAGATATTAGGGTTTCCTCTCAGCCTCAACATTTATCATCTCAGAAGTTTAATCCTCTATTTCTGTCAGATGACAAAATGATACATTTAGGCTCAACTATATATAAATCTCTATTAAAAAAATCGGAGTCTACATCTGATAATACTGCAATTATCTTGTTAATGGATGACCATAATTTCCCTCTGATTAATTTGAAATAAATGTTGCTAACGAATTGGACCAATTTTAACTGTGGAAGAAATTATTTTTCCCATGAAAAGCATGCAAGGCAATATCTGTTAATTTCCTGATGATTTTCTAAAAAACTTAATGCGATCTGCCTGTTTTTCAGTGAAGTCCTGTTTCTCGGACTGTGACTGGCTGGATGTGCTCTCTTCATCCTCTGACATAGGAGCTGGCTTGGAGCCCGTCAGCCTGGCTGTGTGTTTACTGGATGGGGCCGCCTTTTACAGTTACCTTTTGTAGCTCTGCTTTTGTCTCCTTGAACCCCAGTCAGCCTCAGCAGATGGCCGCTCACACTGAGCCTGATTCTGCTGGAGGTTTCTTCCTGTTAAAACTGAGTTTTTCCTCTCCACTGTCGCTAGAAGTATGCTTAGTGTGAGGTATTACCTTTGAGTCAATGAGTCGATGCAATCAACTGGTTTTCCTTAGATAGAAAACTTTGGAAACGTGTTAAATTGATTCATACATCAACAACCATAAGGAGGAGCTGCAACACTGCCAGTACTATCTTCCCAAAGCTTACTTTAAATAACAGATGATCCAACCGTGTAGTAGTGAGTTCATTTATTCAGAATTTGCTGGTTTACAAAACTTAATAGGTGTGTCCATTATTTACATTTAGACAGGAATAAAGATCAATCATGGTGGAAGTCAGGAGTACAAACTTTAAAGGTGTGTGTGTTACGA